GGTTTGTGGGGGCACTTGTCTCATGTTGGCGACGCGGTCATTTGGGGGGTTGTGACTCATGAGCCATGATATTCTTTCCATACGGCTTTGGGCACGGTGGGGGGTGTGGCTCACCACACACACCCCTCTCCTTAACCCGACGCGGCGCCGCTTGCAGTGTGGCTTCTAGCTACGCGAGGCGTCAGCGTAGTCTCTCTCTCTCTCTCTCTCTCTCTCTCGGGTTTGGGCCACGCCCATGCTGGCTACTGCTGCGGGTTGGTTGTTCTGGTACTGGGCGCTCGTGACTCGCTGTGACTGGCAGTGCCCTGTGGTCTCGTGCTTCCAACAATGGCCCTTGCCATGCTGGCCGATGAACTGCTCTTACACTATTGGCGGTGCTTGTGATATTGGCTGTGCTTCACCCCTGCTGCTGACGCAACACACACATTATTGCAGTGCTGCGCCGCGCTTCATTGGCACAGCAGGGACCAGAGGGTCGCCGCGGCTTGAAGCCCCTTCAAGCTGCAATGCCTGCGCAGCCAGGAGCTGTAATTAACCATCGAGTTGACGCCTCGTGATCTGCAAGCAGCTGGCAGGCTTCCGTGCCAACCCTAGCAGTGAAGATGGCCATTTACCATCACTTGGGCAAATTTTGGCAACTGCCGGCGGTATTAATGACCGCCCTCAAGCCGACGGTAACGGCAGCCCCGGGGGCGCCGCCGCCACGCCCAGGCCCCGGCCCGGCCCCGCCGCCGCCGCTTTGCTGGCCTTGCTGCCGGCGCCCGCCTTGCGCTGCCTGAAGGCGGATGAGATGGCGGGCTGCCTGAGCTTGGCGCCGGCGCCTGCTGCTGCTGGACCAGCCGGTGCCGCCGTCTGCCCCTGTCCCTGTTCCTGCCCCTGCCCATCCATTTGACCCACAGCCGCACCCGTTGCGCCAGGCTGCTCGTCGGGCTGCCCGCCCGCCGCGCCGGCGCCGGCATCTGTGTGGGTGCCGCCCTGCCGCTGCGCCCGCCGCGGCGCCGCTGCCGGCGCCCGCGAGGACGCCTCGGCATCAGCTCCTGCAGCTGCCGCTGCTGCGCCCGCGCTGCCTCCGCTGCGACTGCGCGCCTGGCCAGCGCCGCCGCCGTCCGCCGCGCCCGCTGCGGCCCCGTGCCGCGCCCTCCTGGCCCCGCCCACGGCCCGCGCCGCCGCCGCGGCACCGTCGCCAGAGCCCGTGCCGCTGAGGCTCCTGGACAGGTCCAGCCGCTTGGGGCGGAGGCCATACGAATGGGACGCGGCGCCGCCGCCGCTCACATCCTGATCTGTGCTTCGCGTGCTGTCATTGTTGCTGGCGCCGGCTTCCCGCGTCTTCTTGCTGGGCGACCCCTCGCCCTCCACCCCCTCCTCATCCTGCCGCTCCCCGGCCGCGCCCGCGCCCGCCGCCAGGCCCCGCTTGCCGCGCGGGCTGCGGCCGGCCGCCGCTTTGCAGTCTGCCGCAGCCGCCAGCGGCGCCTGCCACTGCCGCATCTGGCTCTCCGCCTCCGCCTCGGACTCAGCTGTGCGCAGCCGCACCAGCCGCTGCGGGTGCGCCGTCGCGGCGCCCGGCGCGCCGCGCCCCGCCCGCGGCGGTGCCGCCGCCGCCGGCGACGCCGCGTCTGCATCGCCGCCCGCGGAGCCGCTGCAGCTCGGGCTCGCGGCGGAGGGGCTGCCTGCAGCATCAGCGCCGATGCTGGCGCGCGACTGGCGGCGCAGCAGGTCGGCTGTGGGGGCGGGCACCTTTGAGAAGATGTATGCCGTGAAGGCTCGCCCGCTGCCTGTGAAGCAGGGCGATGGAGGAGGGCGGAGGTGACGGTTAAACGCTGGGTTCGCTGGTTTTATGGGCGGAAGGAGCATGGATGCATGGGAGCCACATGCGGCCCCTGGCTTCGCAGGCAAGCGGCACACGCCGGCAACCAGTGGCAGGCAGCTGCAAGGCAGCTGCTACGCCCGGCAGGCGTCCAAGTGGCGTATGTGTTCCCCAAGCCCTGTTGGCGGCAGGCGCGCCCGATCGACGCAAGGCGCAGCCCGCACACGCCGCGGCGCCCTTCCGGACCCTGGAAGTCGGCCTGCCTCAATTCTGCATGCAAACAATCGGCCTCCCGTTTAAATAGGGGACGCGTCTCGCTCCAAACACCCCCCTTAGGCCCCAAGGCGCCGCGCGGCCGCGCCAGCCGCGCGCACCCGACATGTTGACAGAGAAGCTCTTGATCAGCAGCAGCGGCCCAAACCCTAGCTGCCTCATCTCCAGACAGGGGTTGATGCCGCGCATCGCGCGCTGCACAACGGCCACCGCCTGCGGGCGCACATGTGCGCGTATGCAACGCAGCGGTTGCAAGGGCGCACGCGCGCGCGTCGGGGGTGCTGACGTGGCGGCAGGCTTGTGCCACGCGCAGCGCTCGACGCACCCAACCAGGCGCGCGCCACTGGCCCCGCAAGCGCCGCCAGTCCCATACCCTGGTCTGGCGCCTTGCCGGCTGCTGCCTGGTGCGCCGCTCGCACCTTGAGCGTGGGCGAGGCGCGGAAGAGGCGCCCAAACGCCGCCTTGCCCTCCCGCGGCACGCCCTCCCAGAAGCTGTAGGCGTGGGTCCCGGGGTCCAGGGACGCCACCTGGGGGAAGACAGCATTTCCAACAACAGGCGCAGGATAAATTGTTGACCACATGGGAGATCCCGGCGCACGGGGTTCCCATGACCCAGGCGCCTTGAACCAGCCGAGCCGCGCTATTTCAAGCGACGCCCGCAGCCTGGCGGCGCGCTCACCGCCGCCCCCGCCCCTCCGCGCCCCGCCCCTCCGCGCCCCGCACCCGCTCGACCGCCGCGCGCGTGATGAGGGGCGTGGCCATGCCGTCGTGGCCCAGGCCACGGCCGCGCAGCTCGCGCATGACATAAGCAATGAAGGCCTCCGCCTTGGAGCACTTGACGGGGTCCAGCTCCACGCCATACGCGCCCGCGAGGCGGTGGCTCAGCGCCGCGTGCAGCAGGGGCCTGGTGTAGGGCAACAAGTTGGTGCTTTCGTGTGAGGGTTCGTGGGGTGGGGAGGCTGTGGAGGGTGTCGGGTGCTGTGTGCGCGCATGTACGTGTATGTGTGTTTTGAGTGGATTTGGGGTGTCTTGCGCAGGCGCTTGTTGTGTTTGGCTCAATGGGAAGCACTAGGAGCACAGACCTGCGCAGCAGAGGCAGGGAAGGAGGGGTGCTTGCCCAGGCGGGCCACAAGCCACGCCACTCCACCGAGTTTTGTGTCCCCGCACTGCACGGCGGGTGGCGGCAGGCTGCGCCAGGGTGGCGAGCGGCGGCATAGACAACGTGTGCGCGTCCGCGCGCCTGCCCCGCTCGGGGCCCCTGCGCTGCTCAGCCCTCACCTCCCAAGGCCGGCTCCTATGTCGATGAGCGTGCTCCTGGGCCCCAGGGCGCAGCTGTGATGCATGCAGTCGAAAATCTTCTGCATGCCGGTGGCGGTGATGGATCCATAGATGCCCTCCACGCCCTCGCCGCCGCCGAGCTTGGACTGCGCGGGGGCGCGGCGGTGCCGGGGCGAGCGGGGGCGGGCGGCGCGAGGGGGGGTGCTTGGGTGTTGCATGTGGCGGGCAAGGGGGCTGTGCGAGCGGGTTGCCCAGGTGACAATGCGATGGTGATTGGCGACAAGGATATAATTTGGTGGTGCTGCATGTGCTCTCATAGCTCCCTCCTCCTGCCGCCATTGCTGCGCGATCAACGCAAGCGCCTGCGAATTCTGCGCACCTCCATTGTCTGCATGATGGAGTACAGCCCGCCCAAGCCGCCAGGCTGGGACTGCTTTGCGGTCCCCATTGACGCTAGCGCCAGCCCTGTGTCGCCTGGGAGATAATTGAAGGACAAGCCGAAGGCGGGACGGTTCACAACAACGATCTGGTGGGTGATCAGTTGTCACATATAGTGTCTCGTTTCTTCCTTCGATTCAGATCGCGCGTATGCTCCATAGCAGGCGTCCTTCTTGCGAGTTCAAACCTGTTCGAAAGTCTCACCAGGTACCACTCGCTGTGTTACCGTATTCTTATTCCAGTCAAAACAAACAGTTGAATTGGCTGCAAGCGTGCCTTTCTGCGTGCAAGGGGCGTGCGTATGAGATGAACACCTCTTTGTCCTTCGTGGCATCGGTGCTGCTCGTCCTCGCGGGTAAGAGTCGACTCCCTGATACCGCTTTGTGATTCGCTGGCGTGCGTGCTGATGCAACTTCGCTCACACACACTCTGCCCACCTGGATGCGTCGCAGCGACCAAGGCAGCGGCGCTTTCACAGCACCAGCAGCGTCCTAGCGATGCCTGGCATGCAGTTGCGCCCGCGTGGTTGTCAGGCAAACCACACGCTGATGTGCAGCGGCGTCCAAGTGTCACGGCCGCGCCGCCAGTACATTTGTCCGAGCCACAGGGGGCGTGGTCCCTCCTGCCCCTGACACAGCAACATGACAAGCAAACACAACTTGAGCAGGCCATTTTCCTTCAGGAGCAGCATCAAGGGGAGCTGCAGCATTGGCGCTCGAGCCGATCGCAGCAGGGGCAGCAGCAGCAGCATTGGCAACAGCAGCAGCGGCAGCAGCAGCAGCGGCAGCAGCAGCAGCAGCAGCGGCAGCAGCAGCAGCAGCAGCAGCAGCAGCAGCAGCAGCAGCAGCAGCAGCAGCGCCGTCTGCTGCAAGGCAGTGGTGCACCGCACGGCCGCCGAGGGCCAGACCCTCCACAGTTTTCCGGCTCCCAGGGGTTTGTGTTTGAGCTGGTCTGCATTGGGGCTGTCGCCCTGCTGGCATTCATGGGGTGGAAGGCCATGCATTGGTACCAGCGGACGCGCCGGCCGGGGTATGTCGAGCTCCAAGATACAGCCACGTTCCACCGCCCTTGGGCGGTAGCATGAGTGCGGGCGACTGGCAAGTGCTGCCTGGTCGTAGCGAGCTTGTCCTTGTTAAAAGTTGCAGTTGAGTTTTGTGATCGGCACATGCCGTGTATGTTGCCAGAGTCAGTCTGTGGGAATTCCCAAAAGCATGAGACAGTTGCATGTTCGTGGACGCGCTGACCAAAGGAAGGTGCTGCTGAAGCGGCTCAAGCAACAGCCCGTCAACAACACAGCAGTGGCGGGCAGGTACAGTATGCGAATGGGGTTTAGGGTCAACAAATTCCAGGCAGCCTATCACCCCTTTGGCCCCATAGAGCTGATTTCAATCGAAAATACTTGCTTGATATGTAGCTCTTGGCATTCAGAGCAAAGCAGCCCTGAATCGCTGGATTTTGTGACGCCCCCCGCCACAGCGAACCAGCAGCTGCCAAATTTCACTACTCGCGATAGCGAACAAGCCAGCTATAGCGAACGTGCCGCCGACCCCAGATGGGTCACTGTAATGGGGGAAGACTGTACCGTAATGCAGGGGACAGGTGGTGGCTTGATGATCGCGCTGGCAGCCCGCCAGCAAGGCAGTTGGCATTCCAAAGCAGTGCAGGGGAGGCGCACGCGTTGCTTGGCAGTTGCGCAATTTTGGGTCCGCAGCACGTTGTATGTGCCTGTGTGGGGAGTGCAATTCTTTGCTTCCCAGTCCCATTAACCATGACGCGCCTCAGCACCCAAAGGCCGTACAGTACTGTACAGGCTTGGGCGAACACGCCAGATGCCTGTGGCATGTGTGCTCAAGGCACTCATGGCGGGCGACGCTGCAGGTAGTGCCATGGTATGGTCGCTGGGGCAGGAATAGTAAAGAGCGTGGAGAAGCCGTCGCCGCGTGCGACGTTGCTGATCAATCTGGTTTCCAGGTTTGCAAGGGGTCGGCCCATTGCCTCTAATTGCACAACAAAGTCAACAAGGGGTTAACTTGGTCAAACGCATGATGCCTGAGAAGCGCCTCGTGATGATCGAAGAAATGTGGAGCACCAAGAAGATTTGATTGCAAATCCGCACGCCCTCGCTGCTGAGCAATGTGCAGGCTTAGCGCGCATCGCGACTGTTTTCCAGCTCCAGATCTGAGCTCCATATGCTACTGCAGCCCCCCCCCATGTCCAGACCATCGGTGCAGTGTGCTGCATGCTTACATCGACGCTGCAGTTCCAGATTGGAACAATTCTGGTCACCAGACGTGTCCTTGGTGTCGACCGTGAAAGTGGGCAACTTGAACAAGTGCCCCCGATGGCTAAATGGCGGTGAGGGTGACTGTCTTTCATGCGGATCCCACGCTACCGCTTGCTGCATAGGAATACCTGAATATTGACTAATGAAGGGGCTGCCCAACCTCTCACTGATGCTGGTGCCGCTCCTGCTGCACGCTCATGAGCCGTGCCAATCGTTACTTGTGTCCCTGCATTGTTGCGTGCGGGTCATCCGGAGGCCAGTCAAAGTCAAAGCGCTGCTAGCAGTTTCAGTCCCCCGGGGGTTTGTGTGTTACACTTCAATATGTTTGCCTTACTTGAGCCCGAACCCGCCGGCAGGTTTGCTGCATGCAATCGCCGACTGCAAGGCAGCAAGGCCCCCTGGGCAGCTGGCACCCAGAAGCGAGACGGCACTGAAACCAGAACGGATGCGTGTGCACTGGGTTCGGAGCAAGGGGCAAAGGCAAACGAGAGTCAGCACTCGTGAAGATAATATCAGGCGGCTGTGCTGCAATGTGTCCGCAGCTCGCTCTCCTGCACCCTCGGACCCCCACTTCGGCGACGCCCGCAAACCCACCCATCAGAATTGAGTGCGTCTGTAATCAGCATCACGCGGTTCCTCAGCGTACCAGCTGCACCAAAGGCGTTGAGCGGTTGTCACGATGCTGGCGAGCCATGCGTGCAGTGCGCGATAGGGTGAGGTTGCCTGGACACCACCTTCTCGCCGCCTGCTGCGGCCACACCAGCGGTGTAGCAGTGCAGGGCCACCGTTCCAGATTTTGCCCGTGATGTAGTGTGTATTCATTCCTTTAGGAGCGCTTGCTTGCTGTGGAGCTGCGCGCGCCGCCAAAAGTGTGGTGCGGCAACGGCAGAACAGGCAACCCAACAGGCACAGGAGCGCGGCGCCTGAACAGGCCAGCTGCGGCCATGCCACACGTGTTGAAGCATCGTGAGCAATTCAGCAACCGCGACTGGCTGAGTGATCCTGGAACGCGTTGCATGTCGGTGCGCGAGAACAAGCGTCCAGTGTCGCAGGTACACCAGGGAGGGTAAGCCGCACAGACGGCGCCGCCACAACCGTCAGTGCGGGTGCAGCACAGAGGCGTTCTGCACTAAAATGGAGGCGCACGGAGCTCCACGTGCGCCCGATGCACAGGGCATGGGACCGCGCATAGCTGTTATGGGATCGCAGCCGACTGGCTTTGCTCAGCTTGTGGGAAATAAGACAACGTGGTGCAAACACTGCCTTGGACACAACAGAAAGCGACGCAGCCGCATGTAGCGGCAATAAATGCACGCATGTCCGATCATTCTGGGAGGCGGACAAAACAGGGGGTGCGGCGCGCCAGCGCGTGCAGCCTTTGCTTTGCCGCCAGACCCTCTCAAGAGTAACAATATGGCATGGCAATTCATAGGTGCTGGCGGTGGGAGCCGGGAAAGCAGCCCTTGCGTTGTTTGGGATGGTGAACTACGCAACCATAAGAGGGGGCTGTCTCATGGTGCAAAGGAAGGGGCCTGGACCCTTTGTGTTCGAGCATGGTTGAAACTGCTGCCCTGCTGCCCTGCATGGACGCACATGGCGTCCAAGTGGTGCGCAACCCGCTACATGTGCACTCGAAGGGTTTCATGTTGCGGGCGGCGCTCTGCTGTGAAGACGGAGGAGCATGCTAATACTTTTAGCGGCAGCGCTCAAGGTGCGCCGGGCGGTGGCGCGAAGCGCCAGAGCAGCTGAATGATGTCCTGCTTTGGAAGGGGGTCCCGCGCCCTGCGGTGGGGGGAGCCGCAGCAGGCGTGGCAGAGGGGACCAATGTGAGGTGAGGATGAAGCTGTGTCAGCGTTGTGAGCAGAGGGCAAGGGGTGACAGACTGCCGGCACCTAGCGAGCGCTGCGCAGGGGCGCTGCCGGAATCGAATGTTTCAAGAGGTGCGGGGCCGGTCAGCAATGACCGCGTTGCGCAGCTAGCTGGGATCGCTGCCACCAAGGACCTTCCCCCCGCCTTTTCAAGCCTCAGGACCCCTGATATGTGCCTCCCAGGCCCATTTTGTGTCGGCCCCTCATGCCCCGGCCAGAGCGAGCCCACGACCGCGGCGGCGCGTGGCCGCCCTGCCAGGTCCAATCGCGGGTGCTTCCACACGACAGCCCCCTGCCCACCAGACAAAGTCCATGTGAGAGTACATGGGGTAGAGCTTGTTGTAGACCAGCTGGGCCCCCCACTCCTTGACCACCTTGTCCACATCAGCAGGGGTCGCCATCACGTCGTTTGCCCCTGGCGTGACGTTTGGGCGCCAGCGGGCCACACGCGTTTTTGAATCGACGACAACTCCCGAATGAACCTGGCCCCACATGAACCCGGCCCAACAACACCTGAATAGACCCAGCATCGCCCTGCCTCGCATGCGCAGCCCTCGCGGCTGGCCGCTGGCACCCTCGGCCAACTCGAGCACGGGAGCCGGGAGCGGCCCGGGGCGCGCACCTTCAAGGATGGCCGCTCGGGCTGTCACCATTGAGAGGTCGTATTTGGGCGGATCCTCCTGTCCATATATGGCCTGGTTGCAGGTCTCCTGGAAGGCCTGCTTCTGGATATTGAGCGTTGACGAGCAGTTCGTGCCAAAGTCATACATCCGAAGCCCGCTGGCTGAGAGCGACATCTGGCTCCTGTGGTTGTGTATATGTGTGGGAAGGGGATGCGCGCGTGCGCGTGTGCGTGTACGTGTGCGTGTGCGTGTGCATGTGCGAGTGCATGTACGTGTGCGTGTGCATGTGCGAGTGCGCACGCACATGCATGTGCGAGTGCGAACGCACATGCATTTGAATGCGCCCACAACGCGCACAAAGCACCCAGCAGGCGTGCAAAATCACCCGGGCTAGCGACCAGGGGCATCTTGCCGACATCGGGCACGCCCTCGCGGGCCGCACCAGTGGTCGAGGTTGCGGGTGCCAACAGTGGATGGCCATGTGCTGCCGATCCTCATGAGGTCCCATGGCGAGACCAGGAGCGTGTCGCCATAAAACTGCCAGAGCGTCAGCGGGCGCATTGAGCGCAGCAACGGGTGGCGCAGTCGGTCGCTCGCTTGTCGGCGCGCGCAAGGCGAGGGATGCGCTGAAACATGTGGATGAGGGCAGGGCTTGGAGCGGGATGGCCGCTGCAAAGGTGCTGGTTTTGCCGCGCCAACCTCGGGGAGAGCCCTGCTGACAGCGGCCAGGCTAGATTCGCTCCATCACAAGCCGCCCACCAAGAAGTGGATCAGCTTCTGACAGTAGCGGAGCCGCGAGTAGGTGCCGTTGCAGGACGAGATGAGCTGCGAAGTGACAGAGTTCATGATGAAGTTCCCGATGGCTGCGCCGCCCAGCACCTGCAGGGCGCGTCGCGCGCCAAGAGCGGGGGGTCATCAGTGGTGCATGCACAGGGGTGCAAGCAGGGGCGCGGGAGTCGCGGCCGCAGGCGCGTATGGTAGGAGGGGGGCCCTGCTCGCATGTGCCTGAAGGGCGGCTGCGTTCGCTTGAGCACTTCCCCCACCAAACATCCACGAGCGCGTTGACGCCCTCTCCGTCTCTAATTCGAAACAAGCGGTTAGCCGCGGAGGCGAGTGCCCCACCTTCTGGGCCGAGCGCAGCTCCGCCTGGTGCCGCATATACTTTGCTTGTATCTCCTCCGCATGAGTCACCGCCCCTATCTGCATCATCAGCCAGACCTTTGCATTGTACTCCGGCTTTGCGGACAGCAGCATGAGCGGCAGCGTGCAGCCCTGGGAGTGGCCGACCGTCGCGAGGCTGGGTTTCCCGGTGAACTTCAGGATGAAGTCTATCTGAGCTGGGAGGTCGAGCAGGGCCAGCTCGTCGATGGAGTACTGCCAGTACGCGACAGAGGTGTCACCGCGGTACCTGTTGCCACGGCTGTATGTGTTGGAGCGCGTGTTCAGCATCCACACATCGAAGCCTGACAAGGATGATGGGCGGCGCGGCCAAGAGGGGGTTTGCGCGGTGTGAGAGGGAGCGGCGGCTTGCAAACAATTGCTTAAGAATGCAGAGCCAGCGTGCGCAGAGCCAACAAAGTTCAAGCACAAGTAGAAATCAAGCATAGATGACACATGCACCGAGTGTGCACGCGCAGCCCATGTTAATGCATGGGCTTGTGCAAACCAACACCCATGCATGAGCTCAAAACACTGAACGTGTGCAAGCGTGTGCACATACACTTCGCATGCGCGCATGCATATGATATCCCCCCCCCCCGCCCACATGCTTTGCACCTACACTACAACACATCTGCAACACATCCTCACCTGCATCCGCCAGGTAGAACCCCATGCTCGACTCTGGGTCCAGCACCACGAAGCAGCTGCTGGCCAGCGTGATGCCGTGGATCAGGAGGACCACCGGCTTCCTGGGGTCTGGCTTTGTCGAGTTCTTCACGCCGTAGGGGATGCGGTACAGCCGCAGCACAAAGCCGTCCTCCGTCTCCACAGGGTAGGTCTCCAGGGGATAGCCCCAAGGCAGCACCAGGTCTGACCAGGCGAGGGGATAAACACGCGCGAGGCGGCGAGGGGTGAAACCGCAGCGGTTTTTTTGGGGGGGGTCTTGAGTTGGTGCTGTGTCCAGGCTTCCGTCAGCTGAGTTGTACAGGGCAGATTGCCGCTGCATGAAGGTGCGCATGCATGGGCGCACAGTTCGTGTAAGGAGCTCTTGCACTGACACAGAATCATGCCCTCATGTGCAAGCTCGCACGCATGCACGCTCCCGCACACACAACCGGGCAGACTTGCAGCACATCACCACCGCACTCTCACCCTCCATGGAAGAAGACTTTTTGCTCAGCGCCGGCTTGTCAGGGTTGACCAGTCCTCTAACAGGCTCCGGCTGCCCGCCCGCCTTCCGCCCTTTGGCCCACCCATACGGTGGCCGCCTGTCGTAAGCACCATAGTCCGAGTGCTTCGCTAGCGCCTTTGCCAAGGCAGCTTCCTGCAGCTTCTCGTCTTGGGGCAGCATCACCGGCCGCGCCGCCACTTGCTGCGCAGAATCCGTCCGCTTGGGTGCCACGGGCGGCGATGGGGCAACCGGCTGCTGGACCAACGCAGGGCTGGCCAGGGGGGCCGTTTCGGGACCTGCCCCTACGACTGCCAATGATTTGGGCTCGCTCGCGGCTGCGGGCGCGACAGGGCTGGCCTGGGCTGCCTGCGGCTGTGGTGTGTCCGCCTTCGCAGGCGCGATCGCTTCAGAAGCTGCTACCGGCTGCGGCGCCACGGGCGCGGCCGCCTGCTGCTGGGGTTCGGCATCCACACGGGCCGGGGCTGCACTGGGCGTGGTGAATGGGGCAGCCAGGCGAAACAGGGCCCCTACAAACTGCTGGACCGCGTCCGTCAACAGAGGTGCAGCAGCTCGCGGCGCGGCAGCGCTTTGAGATGCATCCACGCCATTGTACTGCACGGCAGCGGCGGGGCTGCCCGCTCCACAAGTCAGCAGCAGCACTACTCCCAGGACCAGCAGTCGCATAGGCCCACGGCCGGCAGTGACGATGCAGCCAGGCGGCATTAGCGCCGGTCAACAGGTATCTTCAAGATGTTTATCCCGTCTTGCCTCCTGGAAATGGTCAGGCACGCGAGGTCAGCGCGACGCGTTGGGGGTCATGGCATTTGCGGCGGACCAAGTGAATCCTGTGTCCAGCGCACCCGGTGAGAAGAGTGAACCCTCACGAATCTGTGAAAACCTGACGGCAACAGGCTTTGGGTGATGGCACTGATCTCGGGTACTGCAAGCGGTCCCATGCAGGATTCGTGTCAACTGCGCATCACAGAGGACAGCAAACTTTCTGAAGCCTCGCTGCTTAGCAGACTCTGCAGGTTTCGTGCTCGCAAGCAGGGTGCCTGCCTACCAAGCCCACACCCCGGGACACACCCACACGGTGGATGATGACCTGCGCATCATGACTGTGAGTAAGCCGCCGTTGATGATGGGAGCCCGCCCTCCCACAGATGAGAAACCCAGCCAAAGGTGTTGTGACTTCCAAAGCTTTTGATTCCCGCAGAGCCGCCGTGTCAACACACGCTGGCGGGCTCGGCGGCTGCAGGGCTGGCAAGTGCCCACAGCCAGCCAGCCACACGCGTCGGGTCATCCTGACACTGCTGACCAACAGCTCCTTTGCGGCCGGAATCCTTCCACTCTCTTCCACGATCGGCATCGTGGTTGGAAGTCCCGGCAAGACAAGGCCATTCAGTGGTTGCAATCTTGCTGCGCAGTTCGCTTCAAGAGTTGACCAGCTCGCACTTGGTCAAGGCAGCCTTTCATCTGGCGTGCCCGTCTGCCAAGGCGGCCATTCCTTGCAAAAATCCCAGGCATTGCTGCTGCGCCATATGAGTTCGCTTGGCTGCGAGGGCTGCGCCACCACTTCTATGCAACCACAAAGCAGGCAAACGGCCATGCACATCTGGCCCATTTGTGCCTCAAATGCTGCCCTGAGCTGGTCAGCATCTGTTTCTGCAGCAGCCTGCACAGCTGGCGCAGGGATGTGGCCAACACCACGAAAGCGCCGCGGCTGTCAACGACCGCGAGCATCGCCAGCGCTATCGGCCAGCGCCGCCGACTGCGTGCGGCCCTCGGGCACACCCGGTTTGTCCGGTCCTGCCACTGCCGCCGCTTGGGCCACAGACAGGAGCTTGTTGTAATCCTGAATCACCCAGTCATCAGATGCTTGCTTGATCATGCTTACGCATGGGCGTGAGGGGATGAGGCATGCACTTTGCACGCCCTACATCTCTGCGACTCCGCCAGGGTCACAGACAGAAAGTTGTGCATGCAAACGCGTGTGCAAGAGATGTGCGTTACGCGCCTGCTGCGGCCATCACGGTCCCCCCACAGGAACCAATGTGTGTTTGTGTGGTCTGGGGTACCTTCAAAGGGCACAGGAGCAGCGCCTCGCTGCAACGCAAACAAGAAAAGGACACAAGCGCAAGGGCAAAAGGGAGCCACGAGCGCATCTATGGGCCGGACGCGGTGCACAAGATTGCGGCCTTCAACACCCGCGCCGTCCTCCGCCGCTGCCCTTGCCGTACCCAGATCGTGCAGGGCAACGCATCTCGCCAAAACCACCGCGCTCCTTCGACCTAACACGCCAGGACCTGCCATGCCCTTGCGCTTCTGCTGGCCCGCCTTGTCACCCGGCCACGCCCAGGATTGTTCGGACCTGCGCGGGCGTGTGCTTGATGCCCGCGGCACCGCCTGCCTCTGGGTACCCGCTGCTGGGGTCCCCCAGCATGGTGTAGACCAGGTCGTAAGCCTCGGCCAGGGATGACGCGACCCTGGAGGGGTTGAAAATCCGCAGCAGGAATGCGCGTTTGTGTGTGTGTGTGTGTGTGTGTACGCATGCGCGCACGCACGCATTTGTGTATATGTGTGTGTGTGTGTGTGCATGTGTGTGTGCGTGTGCGTGTGCGTGTGTTTGCACGCGCGCGTGTTGTGTTTTTGCATGCATACAATTGTGGAACTGGGGCGATCAAAACAATCATGGCAAACAGACCCAGCAGCCATGGGCCTAATGCACTAAGAGCACGCACGGGGCCGATTTCTGAAGCGCCACAGAGCTCCCCGGGCCGAGGAGCATGTTGCGCCTGCAAAAGTCCTGGAAACCTCTAGACCCCCAGGCCGGCGCCTGCGCCGGTGCGCCGCCCCGCACCTCGCAATCGCCTCTCCTCGCAGGCGCGGCTGCTGCACTGAGCGGAACTCCGGCAGCGCGTCCGGGCTAGATACGAGGACGAAGAAGCTGCGCAGCGCTTCGCTGACCGTGTGCAGGGACAGGGATGGATCGGACGCCAGAGGGCCGGAGCCGCCGCCGGACGCCTGACCAATCATGAGGGTGGGGATGGGGGCGTTGAGGAGTTCAGAAGCCAGCAATGTTCGGCTCGTGAGGAGCGAGGGGGCGCGAATGGCAGGCAGGGGCAACAAGAAGAGCTCAGCATGGGCGCGAGCGCACGCCGCGGCGGCTTTGCAGTCCCTTGCGGCTCGACACCCTCGCAAACAAGCACGCACGCGCACGCGCACGCGCACACACACACACACACACACACACACACACACACACACACACACACACACACACACACACACATCCGTACAACATGCGCACGCGCTCATCGCCCTCCCCCCCATGCACCGCCCCGTGGCCCCAACCTTATACAGCCGCACGCGCTCCGCCACCTCAGCCAGCCCGCAGCGGCCCAGCAGCCGCGCCACCTCGCCGCGCACCAGCTGCCGTACCAGCTCCTCAGCCGCCCCCGCCAGCGCCGCCGCCCGCGGCGCACAGCACGCGTGCGGCGCGAGCGCGGCCTGGGCCGCGGACACGCAGTTCAGCAGGAACGCCGGCTGCGCGGAGGGGTCGAGCTGCGCCGGCGCCTCGTCGAGCCGCGCGCCGCTGTCGGGGCGCAGCGCCTCGCTGCTGCGGCGGCACATCTCAAGCATTGGCTCCAGGACGGCGTCCAGCACCTGAGACATCCCCTCGTCGCCGCCGCCGCCGCCGTCGCCGCCGGCCGCCGAGCCGCCGAGCGCGCCCTCGTGCGCGGCGACGATCTCCGAGAGCGTCGCGAGCGTCGCCGCGACCTGCGGCGGCGGCAGCAGGTCCGCGGCCGGCGCCGGCGGCGCGCGCAGCAGCCGGTCACCCGCGGCGCGGAGCTGCTCGAAGAACGCGCGGCGCGCCATGTCGCGGCAGCCCGCCAGCGTCGTGCTCAGCGCCGCGGACGGCCCCAGGATGCGCGAGACGAGGTCGTGGTAGAAGGCCCCCAGCTGGGACAGCTGGAAGCACAGCAGCAGGGGCGGTGACATCATTATGACCTGCTCGACCCGCACGCGCAGCGGGCGGCAGACGCCCTCGAAGATCCTGTCCAGCAGCGCCACGCTGCTCGGCGCGTCGCCGCCGCCGCCGCCGCCGCCGCCGCCGCCGCCGCTCGGGTCGCTCCCACGCTGCTGCTGCTGCTGCTGCTGCTGCTGCTGCCCCTCCGGCCCCGCGAAGCCGCCGCCGCCGCCGCTGCTCGCGCCGAAGCCGCCGCTGCCGTCGTCCCCGCCCTCGCCGAACAGCGCCATCACAAACTCGCGCTCCCCCGCGAGGGCCTGGTGCGCCCACGCCATCATGTCGGCCACGTAGCGCCGCGGGTCGTGCGCGTGGATCTCGATCGGTGCGGGCACGCCGCCGGGGCCGCCGCGCGTGAGGGCGACGACAAAGCGCTGGAAGAGCGCGCCGTGGCGCGCAGAGGCGACCTCCTCGGCGCAGTACTTAAAGAGGACGGGCCGCTGGCGCAGCGCCGCGACGGCGGCGGTGAGAGTTGGGTCGACCTCGGGGGCGTCGTGCTCCCCCAGGTTGCGGCACTCGGACTGCACCCACCTGGTGTTGTGTGTTGTTGGGGCAGGGTGGGGTGGGGTAGGGCAGGGGATGGCACGCGTGCGGTGGAGGTCTTGGGTTGTGTGTAGTTGTGTGCGACATTGTGTCAGAAGGGTGGGCGTGTGCGGGTTCGCGTGTGCAGCGTGTGGCAGAGTTGTTGTGTTTTGCTGACCGGGGGGGGGTCAGGCTTTCCAGCACTTCGGTGCCGGAGCTTCCCCTCAATCCCTTCCTACGAGACTCAAAGCCATGGTGAATCTGATCAATTGACACAATGAGGCCTGTTGAAACAGCAAATTGGCGGGGTTGATCCTGTCACTTTGATACAGAGGGTGCGCCGCACCTGCACAGGTGCTCGTAGGCGCCCTCCTGGTAGTGACTCATCTGGTCCATCAGCTCCAGCCCCGCGCGCTGGTGGTGGCTGCGCAGCAGCTGCCGGCAATTGTCGTGGATTGCGCGAACGCGGGCCAGCGCGCCGAAAAAGGCGGGGCCGACCTGGCCACCCTGCAGGGCTGCCACCTGCCGGGGTAGCGTGATGCAGGGGGGCAGTGTGCATGGTGTGGCGAATACGTGCTCATGCGCCATAGAAAGCACCACACGTACAACCGCATGAACTGCATGCAAAAAATGATATTGCATTTCACGCGCATGCATGCACATACACGCGCGCGCACACATACACACGCACGCACGCACACACACACACCCCACACACACACACACACACACACGTGGCCCTGACCTCCTCGGGCGTGAGCTGGTACTGCTCCAAAAACTGCTCCACCAGCGCCGCCTTGGACTCCACCGCCGCCGCCTCGCGGCCCAGCTTGTCGGCCTCGGCCAGCAGCGCGCCGCCGCTGGTCTTGGCTGACGCGACAGCCTCGGTCATGGAGGTGCAGCTGGCCGCCAGGGCGTCGAGCTGCGCCTGTACATCGTCGAGCGACTGTCAGAGTTGCGGGTGGATTGCCAGGGAGGGGGCTGTTCAGCAGCGAGACGCGGCCTAGCGCGGCTGCACAAAGCGGTCGAAATACAGCTGGGGAGGGGCGAGCGCGAGGCTCTGCGGCAGCAGGGCGGGTTTCGGCGCTCTGGGAACAATCGTTATCTCACAGCTGGCTTCCTGTTGGGGCAAAAAAGGCAACTGCTGCGGCTGCCGTTGCTGCCGCTGCGGCTGCGGCCCGCGGTTTCATCCGGCCGGCTCACCCGGATGACGGTCTCTGCCGCGTCCAGGAACTGCCGGTTTATGTCGAGCCCGCGCCGCTCTACGGCGCTGCGCAGCTGCCGGCGCTCGGCGGCGCCGTTCTGGTCGTAGAAGCCCGACAGTGTGCTGAGGGCGCTGACCAGCTCGGGGGACTCTGTCTTGATCTCGAGGATCTGATGGTGGCAGCGGCGGAGGCCGAGGCGGCAGGCGAGGGTTCAGGCCGCGCTCGGCTGCTAGGGAGGGGCTGGCTCCGGGCGAGGTCCACGCGGCTCGATGTGCGAGGGCGACGTCCCCACTCACCCGCCGGTGGCTGCAGCCCGTGGCACGCGGGCTGTACGTGGCAATCAGTGCTGTAACCAGCCTACCTTTTTGACCTTCCTGGCGAGGCCAGGAGCGAGGGCGGACGCCATCGCCGCCGACGCCGGCGCTGCACTTGCTTCACTGCGCCGACAGAAAGCACAGCCCGGGGTGCTCTTGCCGCTTGCAAGAGCTAAAGAGATGCCATGTGATCCTGTTCACTCCGATCCAGGCGACAGATATCTACAGTAGGGGATTCTCAGCGACACAAGGGTGTCTAAATGATCAATGAGGTGGGCTCAACCTACAGTACGGTACGGTATCATTACCCAAATTGATCATGCTCTATGCACAAGGATCGTGAACATTTTCCTATATCTTGTTGAATTGCTTACACAGCTGCACAGTACCGTACTGTCTCTGTGAATTGGCTTAGATCTCGTACTCAAACAGCACTGCCGCTGATTTTAATACGCCTGGAATCGATTCAATGCACATGCGTGCGTGGGGCACCTGATAACGGGAACTAGATCTGGAGCAGCCTTCCTCGCCTCTAGGGCATCGCACCGCCAGCGGCATAGCGCATCATGTTTCTAGAATTGCTACTTCACCAAAGCGTGCCATGCTGCAGCGTTGTGGCTCGAAATCTGCTCGCGGGTGGGTGGCATTGCGGCTTGGGCTGACGTGCTGTTTGCGCACCGCTGCTGTTGCTGCGTCGGCCATCCTCGGCCGCCGCCTGGAATACCAGCTGCACGACAGCCGGCATGCAAATCCTTCTCACAGATGCCAACATCCGCACTCACTGTGCAACTGCAGGCGGCTGGGCGGGCGCCGCTGGCCAGCGCCGCGCCCGCCACTTCGTGCCCACGCCGGCTGAGCGCCGGGGCGGCTCGTTTGATGCCGCAGAAAGTGAGCCTTTCCATCAGATGTTGCGGGTGCCACGCTTTTGATCTCAGTGGTCGTCCATTTGCACCAGCTGCTCCTGCCCTGCCAACATGCCCCCCCATGAACCCCTTTCCCGGCCCCCCGTCCCCCGCCCCTCGCCTTACCACTCCTCTAGCCTACGACTCCTGGCGTCGCGTCTGGAAGGAGCCTCCGCCGCCTGTCCACACCCCCAAGCCGCCCCTAATCAACAAGGAGGAGCGCGCGCTGCTGAAGCAGAGCGCAGAGGCAGCGGGCCTGCCTCGGAACGCAGCGGCGCGCGTCGCGAGCGGCGTCGCCCAGGGGTTTGTCCCGATCGACCCCGTCGCCATCGCGCAGCGCATCAGGGGGCTGGACGAGCTGCTGGACAGCCCCGGGGCGGCCGCCCGCCTGGTCGGCCGCAGCCGCGAGGCCCCGTCGCTGCTGGGCATGCCGTCGCAGCGGCTGGCGCGGCAGGTCGAGCTGCTGCGGCGGCTGCTGCCCGGGTACGACCCCGAGTGGCTGCTGTCCGCGGCGCCGCGCTGGGCGGCGCACGGGCCAAGCACCGTCGCGGGGCGCCTGCAGGAGCTGGAGTCGCTGTACGCGCGGCACCTGGGGGCGGAGTTCCCGCGCGAGCGGCTCGCGACGCGACCCGGGCGGTGGCGGTGGCTCTTCACGCTGTCGGAGCGCTCCAAGGAGGTCAACGCGCTCGAGCTGATCGTCCGGTGGGTGTGAATGTCACTGAGAACGTTTGGACTTAGTGTTGGATGGTCAAGAATGGCTTGTGCTTTGGTGATGGGGGAGCGCCGTGTCACTGGCAATGGCCGCGGCCGCGTTGGCTGGTGGGCGCCTGACTGCCATGTGCCGCAATGCTGGGCGTGCGCTTGCGGGACTCCGGCCGCTTGGTGGGCCCCACACTGCGACGCCCTCTCTGGCGGCTGCGCGCCCGCGGCCAGACACTGGTGCGGTCAGGGCCCCATCGCATGTTTCGCCTGGCCTCCCGCACCCTCAGCGCCGCCGCACGCAAGCACCAACGCCTCACGCGCGACCACACCC